TTGAGCCAAGCTTTTTTCTTTACTCAAACGATTTTGAATCTGCTAAAGCAGATATTAACCAATGTTGCAGTTTTCTTCCTTTCTCCCATGAGGTCTAGCAACCTTAAAAGTAACTGTAAATTGATTTTCGGGATGCAGAATCCCTTCATAGCAAACCTTCCTGGACTGTTAGCTGACTTCCTTCCCCAGCCCATTTCAACTCCTCTTTTTATTTGCATATTCCAGAGTACCAGTAAAGCAAATTCAGCCAAGCTTTTCCTCTTCCGACAGTATTTGCAGCTGCTTCTGGAACCGCTTTGTGTCGAGGGACTTGCACCGGGGTGTAATTATGCTGGACTGTGTGGGTGTTGTTGTTTTCTTGTCATTACCCCCCTTCATCCTTCCTCACTCGGGGTTGCTGCCATGAAGAGCTTTGGATTCTGTTTGAATGGCAGCATTTTCTCTGTTCCGCTCGATTTGCAAGCCGGTCCTGTAGCATGGAGCAGAGTGACTGGCTTTTTTCCCCCTTTTCTTTGCCTCTGGGTTTCGGTTTTATTCCATAAGCAGCTTTGTGAAATTAATGCCCTTCCAGGAGAGAGACTCCTAGCTTCTTCTGGGACTTGGCGTTTTGGGCGGCTGCAGTGAAAGGGGATCTCTTGCGTAAAGGGACAAACGAAACACAACCTGATCCGTCTGCAGACCATGGGTCATGGAGACGCGTGTTGTTTGCGTGGGTTGTGAAGATGTGCCCATGGCTGGGGACCTGGGTGAACGTTCCCCCGTGGGCACCTCTCCACCAAGTGTCGTGGTTCACCAGGTTTTTTACAAAATCAAAATATTATCAGTGCCTGCCTCTGTCGTTAGGCCGATGAATTCAATTGATTTTTAGTCCATTGGCATGAAAGTCTCGTGATGACTGAAGCCAAATTAGGCGGCAGGTTTTTAAAAACAAGAATGCTATAAATAAGTATAAAACCTGAAACTGGCAACTTCTGTATTAGCACCTCGGGGGAGAGAGGGAGGCACCAGAGCCGTGGGAATGGGGCTGGAGAAATGCCCTTGAGCCGGGTTAGCCAGGCACGGTTAATGCTTGTCGCTTCTGGACATTCAGCGTCCAGCTTTTGCAACAAACAAACCCAACATGGTTGCCTGGAAATAATTCCTACTCACCCCAGAAGAGCAATTATGAACCTGAATGACAGGTTTCAGGGTTAGGTAGGAGAAGGTGGTGGCTGCCCCAGGGAGGAAAGAGTTGATGGGGGAAAGGCGGGTGGGGGGGGGACTCGGGGGAGTTCCAGGCGGGGGCCAAAATGGTGCATCATATTGGTGCACTGCTGGCATTTTGTGTAGTTGTGGTTGTGGTGAGGAGCCTGGTGTGGGAGCAGACGGGAAAGGATGTTGCCAGTGGGAGGGTGGGCATCGTGCTCCGACACGGGCGAGGAAGAAATGCGGGGGGGGGAGTTCAGGAGCCCGTTCATAAGCGGCAGGAGCGAGCATGTTGCTTCCCCGCCCATCAGCTTTTGTGTCTGTGCGGTGGGGGTTCGCATCTCCTGTTGTGACTTCTCAGACCTCACTAGGAGGGAACTGAGCAGGAAATTTGCAATTCTTGGGAGCTGCAGTGAGCCGTTGTGGATCGTGGCCCTGGGTAGCCCTTTGCTCCTCCGTGGACGTGTTCCACAGCACCCCCAGCCTGCCGGCCTCGCGTCCTCGGGGGGCGCCCTGGGCACTGACTCGGCCGGCGTCGTGTGGCTCATTTCCCGCGGTTTATCTGGGAAGCCCCGACGTCCGTTTGTGGGAAGGGGCTCTGGAGGGGAGGCCTGGTGCGTTGAACCCCTGCATCCGTGTCCGATACCGAGTCCAGAGGGTTGCTCCGCAAGCATGGGGAGGGGGGGCACCGCCGCGCCGTGGGGATCATGGTGGCCTGCGAGAATCCCCATATAAGGGCAAAGCAGCCTCCGAAAAGCGGCCGCTTTGATTGCCGCACACACGGCCTTATCCTCGGAGATCGCCCGGCATTCCAGCTCGGCCTGCCCCAGCCCAGCTCCCCGCAGATGTGTCAGGCTCCGGTTCCCATCTCCCTCCCCCGCCGGGAGCGTCGGCACATCTGGAGCACACCTGATTCGGAGGCGCCGCTCGCGCACCCTGGAGGCAGAGGCCACCTGCCCTCCCGAAAGGGGGGGGCGTTGTCGTCAACCCAGGCGGCCTGTGTCGAGCAGGGTGGGTGGCCGGTCGGTCGGTCACTCTTCTCCCAGGCGGGATCGGCCGCGGTGGCCATTCCCGGCCTCTTCCTGGGGCGTTCGGCGTGCCGCAGCAGCCCCTCGTTGGCCACCTGCTGCACCCCACCTGCCCCTCGGCACACCCCGGCCTCGTCCGCCGTCCCCGGGGCTCCTCCCCGCGGCTGGGCCGTTCCTCCCCCCCCCCCGGCGTTCCAGAGCCGCCCGCCCGATGCTGCCCGCGTCCACCTCGCGCATTCCCTTCTTTTGGCAGCCTTGCAGGATGTGACATCGGAGTAAAGAAGCCCAGGGGCAGCACACGCAGCCATAAAAACGCACAAATAGAGGCCAGCGCACAGACATCACATTTATGTAAGATGTCGCAAACTCCCCGGGGAGCTTTTGGGTGGCACAGAAATGAAAGGAATCGCAACCAGGCCGCAGCGCCGGGGGCTTGAGGCGCGGACGGGGCATCAGCCTCCGCCCAAAATTAGAAAGTACATCGGGGGGATAGTCTGCGGAGGGTATGGACTTTTAAAACTGGGTTGGTCTAGCGTCGCAGTGGCTGGCTGAGGATAATGGGAGTTGTAGTCCAATCCATCTGCAGGGGCACCAGTTTCAAGAAGGCAGTGCTAGAGTGTGCTGGGTGCCGTTCAGCTGTGGGGCACAGTGGGTGAGCACCAGTCCCTCCTCCGTCCGTCCGTCCGTCCGTCCGTGCACCCATCAGCCACCGCTTCTGAATGTTTCTTTGCAGTCACGAGAGCCGGAAATGCGCCCCTTGTTTGAAAAAAAAACCCAAGCCCACAACTGTGTACCAGAAAGTGAAGACTCCCGGGAAGTGGCGCTTTCCTCCCGGTGCCACATCCCACAGTTTTCCTGGAGTCCTTGCGATCTGGACGTCCTCAGAGGTCGCCCTCTTGGCAGCCATGCATGACCGCAAGAATGTTTGAACCCGTCGAATTGAAGACCGCCGAAGGGACGAGGGCCAGGAGCTGGTTTTCGTGGCCTTGAATTCAGTGGCTCAAGCCCGGGTCGTGTAGGGGAACTGTGCCAGCTGGAACGCCGGAAATGTGGCTCCGGGGCCCCACTCCAGCCATGAAGCCGACTTGCTCTCAGCCTGGCCTACCTTGCAGGGTTGCTGTGAGAATAAAACGGAAAGGAGGAAAACGACATATGCCACCGCTGATTTCTTGTAAGGGGCGGGGGAAGGCCGAAGATACAGGGTATAATGAATAAAAGGGTGGGAGGAATGGACCCGGGGTCCTTGAGCATCAGATTTCTAGCCATCTGCAGAAGGAGGTCAATTCTCTCTTGGCAAGAGCAATGGAAGCTTTACTGAACATTTTCGATGCCTCCCATCTCAGATATCCCCAGTAGTCCAAATTCTGAGGGAGGGGGCAGATAAAGCACGCACGGGCGAGTTTAAATGCTGAATTCAAACAAACCTTTACTCACGGTTTTTAATGGAAATATTTGTAAGTATTTCAAGACACAAGCATACAGTTCTCTTCCATTGTTTAAATGTTAAGATAAACAAACCGGAGGCACTGAAACGTCAGTGTAACACCCCAGTCTTTCCCCGTCTGCCAGTTTCATTTCCTGCTCGTCTAGCAGCCGTTCGGTAGACATTTGCCATGGGAGACCAGTAAGAAACCTGGTTTGCTTTAAAACGTCAGGTGTATTATTTCCGAATTCCTAACAACAGTCCTGCAAAGCAGACCAGTGCAAGGTCACAGTGGGGAACCTATATCCAATCCGTGTTACTCTTGGACAGTCATTTCTTCAAACGGACAGTTAAATGTGTGTTTTAGACTTGGTTCTGGAGCTAAGACCCATGTCGCAACATTTCTGCGTTGCCCGACTGCCAGTCCTTTGATGGCTTCCTGGTTTTGGGACTTTTCCCCCCAAAACGTTGCAGTGCCAAAAGAACCCAAGAGCCTTAAAAGGCAGCACGGGGTACATCCGGACTTTCCGCCCTCTCTGTCCCTTTCTGCCGTTGGCCCTGCCCGCCACTGAAATGCGGCCCCGACAGCTCCCCACCCCACCCCAATTCGGCCCCGGCCCCATGGCCGTCAAGATGGCTCGGGCTGGCTTGTCCCAGAGGTGCCTCGGCTCCAACCGTTGAAGTCGCGTCCTTTCGCAGAGGAGGCTGTGGCCCCTTCGCACAGGCAGGTGGAGGATCGGCGCAGCGGCGGAGCGGGGCCTTTCCCCACCGCCGCCGCCTCTGCGCTGGAGCCTGTCCCGCGCGCTCCTTTGGACGGATCGCCGCACTCCCTTTCCAAGCAAAGGCCGTTGTATGCAAGGATTTCATTTATTATCATTATTAATAATCTTTATTATTTTGTCTCAACAAGCCAGCACAAGCTGCCGGGGGGTGGGGGGGTTGTGAATGTAAACGGTCCAGCTGTGCCCAGGGGAACTTTTGATGGCCTTTTCCTTCCCACAGGACTCCAAGTACCAAGACCACCGGCCGGCCACTGCGTTCTCCGTTGCGCCTCCTCACCCTGCCCGTGTGTCCCCTCGTAGAGACCCTCTTTAATTTGGTTCCCTCTTTCTCACACATATACTACCTTTTAAAATTGTATTTCCCCCCTTTGCAAATGTTTGTTTTTATTCAGGATTGAATTGCGTGAATGGTTAATCAGCTAAAAGACTTACAATTCACACCCCACTTTTCCTTTAAGTGGACGCTAAGTTACGCTGAAGTGGCTTCTTTGCAAGGCCTTCCAGAAAATGTGGCTGTGAACCACTCGGAAAGGGGTTTGCCTGCGTCCTCTCACCGCCTGTCCCCTCCTCTTCTCCTTCCAGCCCACCACGCTCCCGCAGGGCACCATCAACATGAACCAGTGCTCGGACGTTGTGGACGGGGAGAGCCGAACCGGGCAGAAGTTTTCCCTCTGCATCCTGACCCCCGAGAAGGAGCATTTCATCCGGGCCGAGAACAAGGAGATCATCAGCGGGTGGGTGGCGCGGCCGCGGCCGGGAGGGATGCAAGGTGGGGCGCTCTTGGCGGGCCCCGGGGGGCATCGGGGTGCAGCCAGGGACTGCCGGGGGGCTTAAACGGGCAGCTTTCCACAGAATGCCTTGCTGAGCCCCCCTTTCGTGGAGCGTCCGAAGTCCGTGGGCTGTGTTGGATGGATGGCTCCTGAGGACGTGTGTCCGGGCTCAGGGCCAGCTTCTGGCTAAGGAGGAATATGTGGGTGCCAGGCCATGACGTCAGGTCTTTGCGTTATCCTGCCCTTCTGTTTCTGCCCACTCAGCTCCACAGGGACGTTCCAGGTGCGACCCTGGAGGCCCCCGGTTGCATCCCCCCTCCCGTTCTGACTGAGCAGCAGGGACTCAGACACGGGGACAGACCCCCAAGTCAGGATTGGGGCTCAGCCCTCCACAATCCCAGCCTGCCTGGGCCCAGAGTTCATTTCTCCCTGCGCATCGTAGGGGAATAAAGTTCAGGCAGGCGTTTGCCTGAAGGTTCGACTAGACCCTGGAGTTGCAGGAGCAGAGCCGGGCGTGGAAAAGGGTGGGTTCATCTCCATGAGGAACTCCTCTGCCAAACCGTATCCTGGTTGTTTCGGTGCTGTACCTTGTATTTGCCCGAAGGACCCAGGAAGGGCAGCTGGATGGAAGGATTTGAACCCGGCTCCTAGTCCATCGCTATGCAACACTTTGCACTGTCCCTGGACCTCTTTTGCCGTGAAGGCACTTTGTATCTGGCCGCTGCGGCCTTGCGAGGTTTTGTATGAAATCGTACGAGCCATGCAGTTGGAGGCCATGTTAGCGGTGGGTGTTGGACACCCAAATAAGCCAGAGCTGCAGACTTAAGTGGCTTGGACCTTAGAGACTAGCGGGGGCTCCCCCTGTCCCATTGTTCAGAGTGACTGGCCAGCACGTTGTTATGAACATTGTCTCTAAGTTGCCAGAACTCTGGAAGCTCGACCGTCCATTTCCCAACACTGTTTGGAATCCTTCAAGCAGATAGTTAGGAAAGGACTGGATGTGAATGACTGAGGACTAGGAGCATGATTGGTGCTGATGGCTGCCCTTGAAGGCATGCAGTAGTTCTCGTGCAGATGCCTTGGGTGCTCAGCATGCTCCTGCGGAGCAAAACAGCGACTCATTGGGATGGAACCACAGCACGGTGGCATCGCCCGTCCTTGGCTCGTACCTGTTGTTTGCTTTTCCCTCCTCTTAAACCTGTCAGTCCTGAAATATTTAGGGGTGAGACCAGAGTGGAATGAAATCGGGCAGAGCAGAAGGGAGAGGGAGAGGCTGTGGAATTGGATCTGACCTGTTTGGCAGGATCCGCTGGCTCCTCCGTCGCCCGCTCACAGCTGCCCGGCCCGGCCCGGCCCGGCCCGGCCCGGCCCGGCCCGGCCCGGCCCGGCCCGCATTGCCTCGACTGGCATCAATGAACTGCTTTCTAAATTTTTCCTTCGTGTAGCAGCTGGCAGAACAGGGTTCCTCTTCCACTCCCATTTCGGAGAGTAGTGTTGATTCCCTAAGCGTGACGCTTGTTGCCCACAGAGAAGTTGCAGGTGCACAACTGTGCATATAAAAGTGGAGGGAGACAACGGAATCCATCAGAACAGGGGATGATGGGAAGAAGCGCGATCTTGGAGAGAAATGCACCTGCCTGGAAGCCTGCGAGTTAGCCAGGCCGCAGCCGTCATGTCTGTGGACTGATTTGGGCAACTGAAAAGAAACCGGTTGCGGGGGCGCTTGCTGGCAGGCCGCCCCGCTGAATCTCTGAGCCCCAGATTCTGCTTTTGCATTCTTGTTCCACATGGTCGTTGAGGAGGTCTGTGAAGACAAGGCAGCCTTCGACAGCCTGGGTGCCTGCAGATGTTTTGGCCTACAGCTCCCATCAGCCACAGCCAGCACCATCTGAAAGCCGAAGCTGTTTGATCCACAAGCGTTAGCACCGCTCGGTGAAATAAAGTACGGAACTTGCTCATGTTTTAAAACTTCAGTAAAAACCCAAAGTGAAAAGCGGCCGCTTTAAAAGAAGAGTAACTGAAGAACTAACGTGCCTGGGAGAATTTGAAAAACGGCCTTCCCCTGGTACCCCAAAGATCGCAGCATCTGTAGGGTGTTGTTCAGCCAGGTGCCACGGCTTAAAGGACCTCCCCGAGGAACACGATGCAAAGCACATTTCTCAAGGCCTCCTAAGAAAACCCGACAATGCCCTTTCTTGGAGCCCCTGGGATTTTTTCAGAACACCTTTGGCCAGTGAGGACTTTCCATTTTTGTACGTCCTCAAGATGTTGTTCCCCCGGCCTACCTTTTTTTGGAGGAAGGCTGTAACAATTTCTGAGATGTGTGCCAGGCAGGAAAAGATGCTGCATAATGCGAAATGCGTAGGAATTTCTGCGGCACGTCTGTACGAGGGCACTGGGAACTGGCATTCATCCCAGATTCCCCATCCCTCTCTGAAGGGATAGGAGCAACCTAACACTTTTAGGGACCAGTAACACCTTCCAGGGGAGATGCCTAAGGAGCTGCAGTTTCCTCTTAACCAGAAGGAAGATTTCGAGGGGCGTATTGGTCCTTCAAGCAAACAGGTAGAGGACTTCACTCAAATCCACACCTTTCCGGCTGCACGGACTCTTAAGAAGAGGCGGCTGTCTGAACGCTTCTAATCCCCCCGTGTGCTGAGCTCTCCCGCCGCTCTTCTTTGAGGTCGGACTGGCTTCCCGTTGGCAAAAAAGCATCTGTCTGCCATTGGTTTGCGGCTGCGGGCCGAGGCGGCACTGTGGGGACGCCGGTGTCTTTCACTTGCTGGTCTGGGTGCTCCCGCTGTCTCTGGGGAAGCTGCCGTCCCCCCTTCCGTGGGCAGGCCTGCAGCTTGGGGGTGCTGAGGAAGAGAGAGGGACAGGGAGGCAGGATTTCATCTTTATGGCCCCGTTTCATGAACTCCTGAAAAGCAGCAGTGGAAACACTGACGCCACCCAAGTGCTGACGATGTGGGCCGTGCCTTTTGGAAGGGAGTCGGGGAGCTGCTGCTGGCCGGCTCTGCTTGGGAGGCCAAGTGAAAGCATCCACTTCTGGGGGGGGGGGGGGCTGGGGAGCAGCAGAATTGTCTTTCTCATCTGGCCACTTGCATTCCTGTCTGGCCGCCTGGAGGGAGAGGGCTAGAAGGGCTGATCGAGGGGAAAACAGAGGCCAACGCAAGTCCGAGTTTGGTTTTATGTTTAGCCTGGTTTGCCGTCTCTGAACAGGCGAAGCAGCTTGCAAGCAGGCCGTTAATAAATTACGAGACAACAAGTTTGCAGATGGTGGCAGATAAAACCCCAAATCCAGACCAGCAGGTTTTTTTAAAAGATAATCATGAGTGGATGGGAAAAGCACAAGAACCAAAGGTTTGCTTGGGGAAGGAACAAACAAGCAGGTTTATATTAATGTTTGAATGCTAAACTCTGGCAGATCTCCAAAGGGGGAATTTCCATCGTCCCCGCTCCGCACTGGAAAAGGCCCTGCCACAGGTTGCCTCCGCGTGCCTCTTTGCCACCCAGACTCCCTGCCCCGTGGAGCAAGCTGCGGTGGTGCTTCTGGGGTGCAGGTTGAGTTGCCGACCTCGAGAAAGAAGCGGCGTCCGGCAGGTCGAGGTCCAGTTAATGGCTGTGCACAAGCACGAGCGGGGGCGCCTTGGGAAGAGCTGGCGTGGCTCCCTGAGGACAGGCGCATCGTGCGAATGTGGCAAGCGGGGTGGCTTCACTGGGGCTGCGGAGGAAGGGGAGCGGCTTCTCCCGGAGAACTGCAGCCATTCTTGTTGCTGCCCAGCTGGGTGCCCCTCGCTGCAAGTCCGTTTCGTTTTTAAAGTCGGAGGCATCTGTTTGATGCCTCTGAGATGTCCATGGCTACCTTGGATAACATTTCTAAAAATCCCACGGTGGGAGGAGAAGGTGCAGGCTGTGAGGAGGGCGGGGAAATGGTGCCTGGACTCCCCAGAGTTGTCCTCTGGTCGGTTGAGATGGCGTCCAGTCCTTTGAGGCTGAAAGCAGGTTATTGGAAAAGAAGGAAACATTTAGTATGTGTGGAAGGGGGCAAGAGAAAGGGACATGGATCTGTGGGGCACAGGGATCAGGGGAGTTGGTGTGATCCCAAGGGCCCAATCCTGCATGAAGTTCTGCACAGACTCCAGTGAAACGCCTCGGAACTGCGTGGTCACACGGAGCTTGCGCCCGCTCAGCGCCTTGCGCCCAGTTAACCTTGCACTATCCATCTGCTTACAGGACAGTCCAGATCGTGTCCTGCCAGCTCTCCTTGCAGAGGGCTTGACATACAATCCGATAAAAAACTAGTGCAGCAGATTTTTGCAAAACAAAGAACAATGAAACCTCGGGCAGAAGCAGAACCAGCTCGAACCATATTTTTAAAAGGCCTGGGAATGTATCAAGGTCTTTTTCAGCTGCCGGAAGGACGGGAGAGCAAAGGCCGAGAGGAGTGTCCCAGGCGAAGCATTGCAGGGAAGCGCTCCTGAAAGCCCCCTCCCCGATTTTGGCCCTCTTGGCCTTTGAGGGCACCTGGAGAAGTGTCCCCAGGACAGGCCTCGGTCTGTGGCAAAGTCCCCGGGGAGGTCGGCATGCTGGGGGCCCGTTGCCCCCCGTGTTCCCTGCCTGACCGCAGCGGCTTCCCCAGGCAGGGGGTGTGAATATACCCGGCACAGCCCACACTGGGGCGCATTTTCTCCGTTCCCGCCTGAGCCCCAGCGCCTGTTGGAACTGCCTGCGGTGCACCTGCAGACAAGCACGCGGGTCGCCTGCAGCCAGTCTGCGCAGCCAGCAGGGAATTGCTAGGAAGGCTGATTTTATCAGCGCCAGACGCGAAGGTCGATGCAAGTGTGTTTGGTGAGTGAGCTGGAATGTTTGTGGACTGGGAACTTGCGATGTTATAAACATGGCTGCTCTGCAAAATTGAGTCTGGTGAGCAGATGGGAACCTTCCTTGAACTATTATTTATCAGCTCAACTGGCACACCTTTATTCATAACAAACTGAAGACCAGTTTAAAAAGAAAAAGTCAGAATACTAAAACACAAATGCTAATTAAAACATCCTATGAAATTGGGTATAATAGGCATAAAAGAGTGTTCAGTGGACACAGGATTCAGGGTTCTCAGAATGGCCTAAAGGCTTGGCTGAAGCACATCTTAAGTAATTCCTTTTTTGGAATGGAGAAGGAGGGCAGAGTGAGATAAGGCAGGTAAAAGTAGATTGGAAATCAAAGAAATGCTTTTAAACCTTGGTGTCTCCCTGGGTTCCCATCTCCAACCCACCTTAAGTAATTGCCAGGACAAAAGGCCTGGGCCACCATCAGGTACACCTGCAAAGACAGGGAGTTGCATGCCTGGGGACAGTGCCTCCCAGAAGCCAGGCAGGTGCATGCCAGGTGAGGTGCTCCAACTGGTATTTGGGACCAAGCCCTTCTGGGCCTTGTAAGTCTGCCCCAGGCCCTCGCGGTCAGCTCAGAGCCAGACAGGCGGCTAGTGCAAGCTGCGCAGAGCCTGGGGGGGCGGGGGGGTCTCGTGCTGTGCGCAGCTCTGCAAGGCGTCGGGCTCCCCTCCGCTCTGTGGGAGATCATGGCATGGAACTGAGAGACGCGCACCGTCATGGTGCGTTTGCGTGATTCGTCTACCGCATCTTGGTGCAACTTGTATCCGGGTGGTTTCGTAAATGGCCCGCCCGCCCTGTGAACCCGTTCCCTGGAAAATTGTGACTTGTGCAGAGCACCCTGGTGCCCCCTCCACACCCCCCGGAAAGAGGCAGAAGGGCAGGTGGCCAACTGGCTGCGCAGAGTGGGGGCTCGGCTTCCCATTTCGTCCAGCTTGGACCTTCCCCTCAGTGGTTTCCTGCCTTCTTTCAGCGTGTTCTTTGACTTGTGGCTCTTCTTGCTCACTTGCAGGTGGCTAGAGATGTTGGTTGTCTATCCAAGGACGAACAAGCAGAACCAGAAGAAGAAGAGGAAGGTGGAGCCTCCAACTCCACAGGTAAATCTGGGGTTGAACCCAAGCCCATCATAGGGACCGTCTGGGCCTGCCCTCAGGACTCTGGGCACTGGACCAGGGCAAATGACTTTCGGCAGCTTCTTTTAAGCTGTGTTGCGCACATCCTTTCAAGTTTGACTTTGCATCCCTGGAGCAAGCAGCTTAAAAACAGGCATCGCACGGAGAGAACTGAGGGTTGAGGAGAGTCCCTAGAAGCATATTCTTGGCTTTGTCTGTCTGTGTGCAGGATTTGGAATAGCTTGTCAGCATTAAGAGGTTGGAGAGATCAAGGTCTGTAGAAGTAATTCAATTTTAGAGTCTTTTAACAAAACCAAACATCAGTACAAAACTGCTGAGAATACAAAACAAGAGCAAAACACACACGTTCCCGTTTCTTATCGCTAATATAGGTTAAAGTAGGTTGACCACATGTTGGGATGAAGTCAGTCGTCTTTTTGTTTCTAGGACGCCAGTGTTGTGTGTTCCTCAATCCACTGCATGGTGGAGGGAGAGGATGTGTCTTTCCGAGTCAATTCTTAGCCACCATGAGGACTCAGAGTCCGCTGGCGGTGTAGCCAGGTCTTGTTTCGTTCTGTTTTTGGGTAAGGAGAATACAAAAGTGGCATCCTGGTATACAGAGTCACGCCGAAAACACACCTGCCAAGTTCCCACCCCTCTGGATGGCTTCAAAAGGGGGACTGGACAAATTTGGAAAGGTGGTGGGTGGCTAAGCTGCTAGTCCTCATGACCCTCTGCTCCCTCCAGGGTAAGAGGTGGTGTGTTGGGGGACATGGGCAGGAAGGCACAGTGTTTCCCGTGCACAGCTGGTGGGCCTCCGTGTGAGCTGAACGAAATGCACCCTTGTTCCGATCCAGAATAAAGGCTCGTCTTGAGTTCTCCTGCCCGTTGCAGAATTTCCGTCCATTTTTCACACTTGCGAGCAGAGGCGGTTTCTTCACTGCGTCGGATCAAGTGACCCGGCCGCTCTGGCTTTCCTGTGCAAGCAGGCCCCCGGCCACGGCCCCGGGAGTGAGAGGCTGCAGCTGTGGCCGAGCTGGCTTGCAGAGCTTCATGGGGCCAGGCTGCACTCTCTGGGGATCCAGCGACAACTTTCTTCTCTTTTGACTATAAATGGTCAAACAAAAAACAAAGCAAAGCAAAACCTGGGATGGGACTGTGACTCATTCTTTCCTGCCAAAGGCTCTCACATGGAAGCTGGGGCGGGGGAGGGGGATCCTCCGGGGTCAGAACGAGGCAGCCCAAATCACTGTCGCTGGCCAGTTGCGCAGAGACGGGGCTGCCCAGGAGGCCCCGGCCTTTGCAGGGGCTGCATGAACACACGGAGTGGCGCGTCAGCCTTCCTGGGATAGATGGCGCCTGGCTGGAGGGTCGGCCGCGAGTCTGCCTTTGCCCCTGGACGCAGAAGGAGCAACTTCGCAGGGGATTCGGCCTGGTTGCTGGAGCTTCCGCCTGGCCCTTCAGGTTGGAGCTGAGCAGCTCCTGAAGCAGCCAGCGACCCACACGCCTTCCCTGCAGAAGCAGCAGCCCCTCGCCGTCACACCGTCCCGTTCGGGGCTTTCTTTTCCCAACCCCGCCGCTGCCGTCGTCAGAAGAGGGACAAGTGGCCTTCGGGGAGAGCTCTTCCCAGCCCCGGGGCTTTCGTCCAAGTTCTGGGTGGGAGGGAAGGCTGGGGGGCTCCTTGTTTCATGGGTCGGCCTCCTGGCGTTACAGCCCAGCTTTTTCTTGCTGCGAGGTGCACCGTGGTCATCGTCCTTTATGGGTGGTCCTCATCATGACCCTGCAAGGTGGGTTCGGCCGAGAGGCCATGCTTGGCCCAAGGTCACCCAGCGAGCCTCGTGGCCGAGTGGGGCCTGGAACCCGGAGCTGCTGAGTGCTGGTCCAGCGCCGTAACCGCTGCACCGCCCTGGCATCAGGTGAAGCAAATCTCCGTGCGTAAAGTGATGGAGCTCCTGCTCTGCATTTGAGCACCTGCTCTTCCCAGCTCTGAGCTGCTGCACCTCACATTTATATCCCATGCTTTTCCTCTTGTGAGGACCCCCGGATGGCTTACACAGACTCCGTTTTATCCTCACAACAGCATCCCTGTGAGGTAGGCTAGGCTGAGAGGGTAACGGGCCCAAAGCCGCTTGGGAAGCTTTATAACCAAGCCGATCAGCCAACTTCCTTCCCCTTTCCTTGGGGCCCCTCGAGAGCTGGCAGCCCAGGGACAGACCGGCAGCGTGTGCAGGCTGCAAGCTCGGCCCCCGTGCTGCTGCCGCTCTCCCCACCCACCACCTTTGCACGTGTGTAGGTTTTGGAAGCTAAGAGCAGAAAGGGGGATGCTGGCAGAAAAACGCCATTTTTTTGGATCATGCTCTGTTGCCATGGCACCCTCTTGGAAACCTGACAGGTCTGAGTGCCTGCGCACCAAATAAGGTAAGTGGGATTCTGGGGGGAGATGCACGGCGAGGAGACACGTCTGCTGGTCTCTTCCAACCAGGCTGCCTGTGGGGATGGGGGTGGTCCCCGGGGGAGAAGGGGAGGGGGCAGCGCATGCCCTGGCTAGGTGCTACTGTGGGATGAGGGACAGGCATGCTCAGTGCCTTGGGAATTTGGGGGCAGGGAGGGCTTGGATTCCAGGAAAGGAACGGCTTGCCGGGACGGGAGCTCTGCAGTATTTCCTGGCTTTGCGGCTGTCCTCTCGCTCACGTACTCTGGTTCCTTTGCTCTTCCAGAGGGCAGGCCTGATCACCCAGAAAGCATCGATGGGTGCAGGGTTCTCTGGATAGTGGATTGGAGCCTGAGGTTGAGGCCCCCAACCCATCCTCCCCAAATGACTGAAACTGGCCCAGGCTCATTGGTCGCCTTTCAGCCTGCGACTTTCTTGCTTGCAGAGATGATCTTGTTTGGTTCCTTCCTTTGGTGCAGTTTGTGAGCTATGATTTAGTATCTTGTGAAGTGATGGTGTGTGCAAATGTAACCTGAGCTGCTCAAGTTTCTAGCCCTCAGGGTTGCGGAGATGGTAATAAAAACGCTTGGCCAGATAGAAGCTCATAAACCTGCGGGGAGACCATGGAGCAGCTCCTCCTACCCAAGCAGAGGCAGTGTGAATTTGTACAATTGTTGTGGGCTGCATAATTTCACCAAATCCATTGGGAGACCCAAATAACAGAGCGGGCAGAGGCACCTGCTGCCTCTGACGCAGGGCTGCTGCCCCAGCTGAGCCATGTGTGAGACACAATCCTGCATAAGTTGTGGCTTGCGGAGGGATGCATAAGCGGGCTGCGGCGTGCTTTTCCCTGTCTTTCCTCTGGGTCCTTGGCTGCAGGGGAAGCCGGAAGCCGACGGTGTCGGAACATGTTGGTGCACCAAACGTTACGAGGCTGCAGTTTCTCGCTGCAGCCAGTCGCAGAGGGACGGGGGCCGCTGCTCTGGCTTTCTGAGCTGCCGCAAGGCTTGAATCTCTGCTCTTGAGCCCCGTCAACAGGTGCCCCGTCTCTTCCCTCCAGGAACCTGGGCCGGCAAAGATGGCTGTGACCAGCAGCAACATCCCAAGCGCAGAGAAGGTGCCCACCACCAAGTCGACGCTGTGGCAGGAAGAAATGAGGGGCAAGGACCAGCCGGACGGCAGCGGGGGGGTTAGCCCGGCCCCCAGCCCCGTGCAGAGCCAGGCTCCCCCCGCCTGCTCCCTCAAGGAACCGACGGTGGAAAGCAAAGACGGTGAGGTCCGAACCCTGAGCCGTACGGACTGTCCGCCGCAGTGCCGTGCGGTGGTCATTGCGGGAAGCTTGGGCTGGTGCTTGCAGACCGGCGGGGCTGCTCGGGGGGAGGTCCTTGGGTCTGCATGCATCCTGGGTTGCTGCAGTTTGGCGGGCGCCTGCACAAAGTGGGGGGCAGCCCATCTCGGGTAGTCCAGAGGCCGATTCTGGCAAGGGCAGACCAGTGCATCGCACAAGGCGGGAGACCAAGCTAGGCAGGGCCACTCCCAAGCACTAGCGGCTTGCCACCAAGTTTTCGTGGCCACTGCAACGCCTTCCTCCCGGTTTTTAAACAGCAGAGAAGAAATAGGAGTGGCAGGAGGGGATTGGAGGCTGCCCCAGAGGGTGGCCACAGCTGCATGAGGGCCACGGCCCCGTGGGCTTTTGTAAGCTTTAAGCCAGGAGACTTCCAGCCATTTCTTCTGCTCTTGCTGCAGAGGACTGAGGAATGTTCAGAGATAAGACAGCACGCCAGTCCTTTTCTAAGAAGCGGATGTCGACTTCTCCATGACCCCATTCCAGAGTACTATGGCTGGGGCCATCCCCTAGAAGAGTGAGATAAACCACAGCAGGGTGGGAAGAGAGGAGCCTGGCGACATGGTGGGGGGCTCAGCCAGGTCACCTCGGGCGCGTCCCACGGGCAGGGCATTCTTCGCGGGGTCCTGGGGCTTCTGGGTGGCACGGGGAAGAATTCCACCGGTGCTGCCGAGCACAGATGTCTGCGAGCCGTGTCGATCCCTCTTGGAGGCACCGGAGTGGCAGGGGACAGATGCCGTTCCCCGTGCCATCCTGCCCCTCTCCGGCGCTTTCCCATGGAAGAATCGAGGCAAAGGAAAACTTTAAAAGAATGAGTGTGTTGGGGAGCCTGACGGAGGCGGGGCAAAGCCTACAGCCACGTCTCCAGGCCACAGCTGGGCCCATTCCACCACGGCAAGCAGTCGGTGCGGAGCCACGCCACCCGCTTCTTCGTCAGCATTGCCCCGCCTTCCGATCCCTGGTGGAACCCCAGTGAGCTGACGCTGAGCTTTTCGAGGGATTTGGAGACCGAATGTTGTATGCTTTGATCCAAGCTGAATGCATTTGGAAGGGTTTCTGTGTCTTGGAAGGGATTTCCCTCCACCCCCTCTCAAGGGACACAGCCCTCGACGGGCGGCAAAGTGCAAAAAGCCCCAGCACACCCCCAGGGCGCCCAGGCGAGCTCCCATCTTGCTCTCTGCCCCCAGCGGCTCGCTTGCTCGGTCTTTCTGGCTCGTCTGCCAGCATCTGTCGCATTGTTCTCCACGAGACAGTCGGGGCAAGGCCGTGGCTTCCTGCTTGGCGTGCGCTTCCCTCTTGGACACCTATCCAGGAAAGAGCGAGGGCTCCGTCCTTCATCCTTTGGAAGGGCTTGTTTTCTTCCTCTGACCTCTTGAGGAGAGTTTTGGATTAATTAAGGCAGTTCTTTTTGCCCTTGATGTGGGGTGGGGGTATGTGTGGAGGGGAAGTCTTTTGGTAGGTGTGAAAGGCTGAGAGGAAGAATTGCTTTCTTCAGGTAGCGAAGCATTCTTGGGAAGAGGCTTTGTCCTTCGGGGGTAGGGCACCCAGGGGTCCGCCTTCTTCCAAGGAGGGAGCATCTTATTCTGCCCTGAGCTTTGCGGTTGTTGCTCACTGATAGAGGGTATGAGCGGGGAGGGGGAAGGTGGTCTGCCCCTGCTCAGTTCTAGCCTTGGAATGCCCATCCCTTCACTCTAAAACAAGGAGCATTCCTTGGGGAAAGCTGCTTCCAGTTGGCCAGCTGTAAAACCCTTCTGCCTCCTTCGCTGGCCAAACGCCGCACTTGCAAACCGCTTGGCCTTCCACCCCGCCCAGGCCTGTTCCGTAGCCTGCGGTCCGGAAGCACACCTCTGCTCTGCAGGAGAAGCTCCGAGAGAAGTTCACTTGGCACACCCCAAGCAAGTGCCCACGGCAGCGGTGCTGAAATCCCAAACAAGGCTGGGAGGTGCCTGCTGCTTTTCCGGCTTTGACTCGGGCCAGGGCGGTCCAGGTTTGCAGAGCCACGAGCTGTTCGAACCCCACAGTGTGCTGATGCTGAGCTTTTTGAGTGTGCTTGCAAGCGGCTTTGCTCTCTGAGTTAGCCTGTGCGGGGGATGGCCGAGGGGACCTACCTGGCTGACAGTGAGAGCTGTGGCGAAACGTGGGGCAGTTGACTGAGCTCTCCCTGTTACCTGCCTTCAGAGAGGACCAGACCTGCTGCAGGTGAGCCGGGGGCTCCTTCCCATGGATCCGGCTTAGATGGAATCGGACGAGTAGCAGCTGCTTGGGCCCTTCCTGGGCGCAGGCCGTGCACTCAGCGCGGGACCTGCTGTACATCAAGCCAGCTCGGACGCCTCTTCCTGCCCTCCCCAAAATATTCCCCTGGCTTTCTCCCCTTCCTGCAGCAAGGTGCTTTACTGTTGCCCAGAAGGAGAGACCATTGGCTGCTGGTGGACGTGTGAGGAAAGGATTTGATTGCACAATTGTGAAACTTCTCCCCCTTCCCTCCCCCCCCCCCCCCCGCATTAAGAATTGAGCCTGCTCCAGCCTGCTCGTGTAGCTAGGCCAGAGCGTTAACCACTGAACAGATGGGTTAACTGTCAGATTTGAATAGATTTGGCCGGGCAGTAATACTTTTCATCAATCCTTTCAGTCCGAGAGACCTCAAAGGTTTTTTGTTGTAATGTTCCTCTCTTTTTGGTTCCCTTTGGTCCGTCTTCTTTTAGCTGGGGTTGTTTCGGTACCGGTCTGTCGGTTTTCTTCTTCCTGCCGTCACCTTGGAGCTCTCTGCCGAAATGCTGGGATAGAAACGATTTCGCAAATGGGTGGTACCTGCCATGCTGTCCCCCCAGCTTTTCAGGAGAGGATGCGAGGCCTTCGGGTGATGCAGCCATCTTTGACCTCGCGTGGCCTCCTTGTCCTGCAGATGAGAGCACCACAAATGGGGACCGAAGCGACTGCGGGCGGAAGACGCGTGTGGAGAGTGGCTATTTTTCCCTGGAGAAGACCAAGCAAGACTTCAAGCCGGAAGAGCAGGAGCCGCCGACTCCGGCCTCCCCGCCCAGCCCGAGCATCCCAAACAACAGGTACAGTGGCCCCAAATCGCCCTCCCAGGAGCAGAGCCGCCCCTTTCCTTCCCCAGGTACCCAGCCAGGCAGCCGAATGGTTTACAGCTTCTCTCTCAGTTCCCTGGACTCGAGAAGCGGCTCCCCCTCCACACACACGGATTCGGCTGGCAGAGAGAGGACGAGGGGAGCGGAGAGAGCAGGCCGCCCCTTCTCCTTAAAAGCCGGCCGGCAGTACGCCACCCTGGCCGACGTCCCCAAGGCGGTTAGGATCAGTAACCGGGAGGCCTTCCAAGTGGAACGGAAGCGACTAGAACGGCGGACCCGGGCCCGCAGCCCCGGAAGGGAAGAAGTGGCTCGGCTCTTCGGCAACGAAAGGAGGTAAGGGGCAGGCGCTGGTGCCGCTTTCTTGTGGTCTGGAGACTTGTAGCTGTTGCTGGGTGAGGCTGCCTCCTCGCAGAGTGGCCCCGGAGGGATTGGCACCGTGCTGGGCAGGTGTTAAGCCTCCCTGCTTTCTGCAGGCACATATTGAGATCTCTCTGACACACATATTGGCTGTGTCAGAGAGATCTCATCTCCAGAGTAGGCAAGCCAAAAACAACGGCCTCTTCTTTGCTTCATGGGAGGCCTTGAAAAGCAGCCTTTTCTGCTTTTTGTCAATCAAAAGGCAGTTCAGGATGTTGCTTGACTATTCAGAGAAGGGCCTGGGAAATCAGAACTGGAAAATGACCTTCCAGGGATGATCTGCTTCTCTGGGTGGCAGCCTGAGCATGGAGGCCCAGTCTGCATGTCATGGTGGCAAATCGCGGGTGGCTAAATGAACCTGCAGTTCATTATAATACTAACCACGTGCATTCTGCAGCCATTTTGAATATTTAGTCCCTTGTTAGGGGTTGCAGCATGGTGCCTGAGCATGTGCGGTATGACCTAAAGGTCTGTTAACAACCCACAGTTAGCTTACAATTAGTTAACCTGCAGCTAAGAGTCAAAAGTGCTGCAGCGTGAGCCTGGTGTAGGCACCCTGCCAAACCGAGGGCTAATGAGCACAAATTTGTCGCCCTTGCAAGTGAACTGGGAAGCGCCACACGGGGGTCAGGCCTGTGGCAAGATGTTGCATGTAAAACATCTGGTATGGATATGGAGTCTGGTACCTGGTAGAAAGTTTTTGAAACATTGCCTTAAAAAAAAAAAGCAGGAACAGAGCTTCTAGGCCTCATGTTTGTGAAGAAAGTTTGGGCCCAGAGAAGTCCCAGGGCAAGGCCTAGACTGGCCAGGAGTCCTTGGCAGGAGCCCGTTCTGGAGGGCAGCTGGGGAACGTTCTGCTGCTGAGGGAACCTCTAGGGCTTCGGCCTCGTGGCTCACGCCAGCAGTGGCATCCCCCCAGTTGGTGCGACTTGACCGGTCGGCGCAGGCCCGGCCTACCTGTTAAGAAACGGTTGGCAAGATGTTGCTTGCCGTTTCTCAACCCAAATGCTTTGGGCAGTTGCCAGCCAGAAGAGCAGGTCGTGTGTGGCCGAGCAGGACTAGGCCTGAGACTTGAGTAGAAGCAACATCCCATCGGTGGTGTTCAGGAACAGCTGAAGTGAAAAGATGGAGAGGTAAACAGGCCTGGTGGGGAACCGGAAGCGTAGGATTTGGCAGAGGGTGCCTGGGATGCTGTGCCGGCCATTCAAGTCCTGCCTCAGGCGTGTGAAAGTAGCACCTCATTATCCAACTCATCTTGGTTCCTGAAACAGGAACTGGGAAGCTGCTGCTGCTTGCTTCTTTATATTTTGCAGCATGAGACCTAGAAACTTGAGGTGAAAGGAGATGAAAGCTGCTATTTTGGGGGTGACCAGTTTGGTGCCATGTACCACATACAATGCATTTAGGAGACATTCCACACCAGTGGGTAGCTTCTTGTATTTCTTATGTCAGGAAAGTGTTCAGAAGGTGCGGATGTTAAATAACTTTTTAAAAACGTCAGGTAGGAATTGGGTGGCTCACATGCCCTTTCTATTTTTGCCATCACAAGTCTTAGGAAGTTGCTTTGAAAGAAAATGAAACCTGTGCTGGCTGAGTGAGTGTTTTCACACCTGATTGTTCCCCAGCCTGCAAAGGCGCCTCATCTCTTTCAAAACTGGAAAGGATATTTCCCTCACGAAAAGTGAGGAGTTGGGCACACGGCCTTCCTCGTTGCCAGGGGAAGCACGAGCGCCGCCTTCTCCGGACTGGTGTCCCCTGAGTGCATCAGGCCGCAAAGCGTCTCCTGGCCACGCTGCCTGGGGACGCGTCTGGGGGCATTGGTTTGGTGTCCTGCCTGGCAGGAGAGGTGGGCCGCTGGAATCCCCTCGCATTGCCCTCCACCTGCCCAGGCTTTTGAGGCCTCGTCAGAGGCGGCAGCTCCTCGAGAAAGCGCTGCCTGGGCCAGACCAGGATGGGTCCATCCACTGCAGGATGGCTCTCCCCATCTTCTTACCCTGGGCAGCCCGCAAGCAGGGCATGAGGGCCGCCACAGTATTTGGGGAGGTGACCTCCGAATGCGCTGGAATCCAGCGCTCTTGAGGAGCCATGCCCTTGGTGATCGTGTGTCCTAACATCCATGCGGCTTGGACAGAACATCTCGCAAAGTCATCCACTGCGAACTAACATCTCCCTGCCTTCCTGCAATTTGCCACCCGTTGCTTGGCTTTTTGCTGCTTCCCTGGTTTTCTTACTCAGCTGGCTGTCTGGGCAGCATTTCGCCGCCGCTGCATCGCTGCATCCTGCTGGCTTGTGGCAGGTGTTTGCACCTGGGCAAGCACAGTTCCCTCCTTAACTCCTCCGCCTTTGTTCATGCCTGATTTTCCGGCTGTGCCAGGAGACCACTTGCTTCCTCGATTCACATCCTTCTCAAATCTCTTTCCTGCTCTGCTGGTATTCCAAGTAACAGACGAGGGTTTTAAAAATTACAAAGAAAATCAAATTAACATCCTGCTTGCCTGGTTCCTGTCCCTTCAATCCCAAATTTCTCGTATTGACATTTAGTTTTCTGAAGATAGGTGTTCGTATCTTCACAATCAAGCACGCTCCTGTTTTACGCAGACCTGTGCATATGCATGCATGCACTTGCGTTTCACTGGAATTTCATCGGGGGTTCCTTGCTGAAGTGATACTCTGGGCAAGCGAGATTCCCAAGAAAGTAGGCTTATTCAGCACCACTACCCTCCTGGGCTGCGTTGGCCAGTGTAGATTTGTGTGTTTTCCTAGATTATGTCCCAGGAAGCTCTGCAATATGGTGAACATCCCATATTGCTGGGTTGAAGGCCTTCTGCTCTTACATGGCACAGTCCAGAGGTCTTGCCCCGATCCAGAGGAAGGGCCCAGCCAGAAGCACTCTGGCTTCACTGCCTTCAGGCCTTGCTGTCTACTCATTTTCATTTTTTTCTGGAAGTGTGCTTTAAAAAGCAGCCTGTGACTGAGTTCCCCAGTTGTGTAGAGAGGTCTGATTCATTGTGAAACAGTGAAGTGCACAGTCTTTAGAAGTAACAGGCCAAGGATTCTGCACAGTAAAGTACTTTGGATATTGGTTTTATGTATGTAATAGCTACATGATTGCAGACTTCTCATCTGTGCATAAGCCAAGTTTGGACAGATTTAATTGCCTTGATTACTAGTTCCTCTTTACTCAGCACTGGTTAGGCCTCCTCTGGAGTACTGTATCCAGTTTTGGGCACCATAGTTTAAGAAAGATGCAGACAAGCTGAAAGGGTTTCAGAGGAGGGCCACAAAGATGATCCAGGGATCGGAAACAATGCCCTGTGAGTACAGATTGAAAGAACTGGGCATGTTTAGCCTGGAGAAGAGAAGACTGAGGGGAGATTGGATAGCACTCTTCAAGTACCTTGAAGGCTGTCACAAAGAGGAAGGACAGGAACCCAGAGGGCAGCACATGGAATGGCAGGCTCAAGTTACAGGAAGCCAGATTCCAGCTAGAGATCAGGGAAAATTCCTGAGTGTTGGAGCAGTTACAACAATGGAACGAATTCCCAAAGTAGGTTGTGGGCTGTGCCACCCTGGAGGCCTCCAAGATGCAACTGGACAGCCGTCTGAGAGGGATGGTTTAGATTTGTGCCCTGGAGTAGTTCTACCTGTTGGCCCTCTGGCTCCTCCTAAATTTCTTGTTCTGTTTCTGTCCCTACCACCTTAACAGATTATGCTTTCCACATATCTTATTGAAAGAATGCAGTTTCTTGCGTAAAACTTTTAACCTGGTTTGAAGCCAGTTTAAATGTGGCATGTAGGCAAGCAGCCCCCAAGTGTGGGAACCCTGCCTGATAAATTGGTGCAGCTGGGGTCCATCTGACCCAGCCCACTGATACAATGCATGAGGTCCCTGTTAGTAGGAAGTGGCATGAAGGGCGGTCCTGTTGCATTTATTCGGCAAGCTTTAAGCATCATTAATGTCTGAGCTCCCCCTACCGGTCATTAAGAGAGATTTTATGCCGCCGTTGCATTTTCTATTTGCAAGATGCAATCTGCGAAGTAATTTTATCTTTTCATTTGAAGTGAATGTTCAGTGGTTGTTGTGGCAAACTGATATGAGTTTGTCTGATTCTGCACGTTGGTGAAATCCACTGCTCAGCTGGCCTCTTTCCTCTGTTCCAAACTAAAGTTGGAATTCTGCAGACAGGGCAAAGACCACGTTAATTCTACTCATCAACCAAGTCTTCTGAGTGGTTAACAGAACCTGTTAATTGACAAGATAGAAAAGGATCTGGGAATGCAGGGGGATGTGGGATTAAAAGCTGCCACCACTGTTACTGACACAATTCACTTTCTCGTCCCCAAGAATGCAACAGAGACTAGAATGGCATTAAATAAGGCTCCTCTTTCGGACGGAGGATGGGCAAGATTTGATTAAAGCCATCTTCTCCGTGCCCCTCTCGGGGGCTCCAGCCCTCTGCGTTTTCCCCCTGCTTGTGCAGAGGCACTGGGCAAGTGCTGCTTGGGGTCCTGTATGCCTGCAGCAGACGGCGGGAGGCAGATTCGGTGGGTTCAGCATCCCACTTGGCGCCTTGCTCTGCCATCAGTCGGCAGAGCCAGAATGGCGCAGAATCAGTTAAATGCAGTCACTTCTGCCCCAGGTTGCAGAACATCTTCAGGTCACAGAATTTTACTCACAGTGTTACAGAGCCCTGGCTGGTCCCCATCATTTTTGTCAACATCAGGCTGCACCCGAACAGGCGAGCATAACTTTCCTTCCTGGTTGCCTCTCGACCAGCTCTGCCTCCTTCCATTTCCCCTTTCCTCCAGTGCTGTCTTCCTGTGAGCAAACCCCCTCTGTCCCTGTCGACTAACACACCAAGCCAATGAAAATGCTTGCGATCGAAAGCACGCCAGCCATTTTAACCATGCTTCTTCTTGGTGGCCCTTGAACTCCCCTTCTTTGCACACAGACGCCACTCTGACCCTGGGCCCTGAGCAGCCGCTGTGGCTAGCCGGCACAGCACACTGCAGCATCTTTCGGCCGCCTCCCTCCTCCCGCTGCTGAAGAGCATGGCAGTCCCCCAGGGGGCCTCCTGCGCCTCCTGCTGCCCCATGGCTTTGGGGCAAGCGGACACTCTGCAGCGGATGTGGGCTTGGGGAATCCCTCTGCCCCTCCCTCCGGCTTCTCGCTGACTGGAAACAAGGGTGTTGTGGGGCTGCCTGCTTGCTTCCCAGGTGCCATGAGGAGCCGCAGGGGAGGAGGGAGCCGCAGGGCTGTAGCTGTGGACAGTCAGAGCTGAGCAGCTGCCCTCACCTGCCGTTCCTCTGCTGCAAGCCACCTGCCCTGCCTGCCATGCTGAACTCTGCAGCAGCGTCTGAGCATCTGCCAAGCACCTCCCCGCCCCCCAGACTCCCTCCAGGGGCCTGTGTGTCTTTCTGGGGGCTCCCTCGGGGCTCCTCGGGCAAACCTGGACCAGGTGCTGCCGCTGTTGTTCTCCTGGGATGACTCACTCCACGTAACACCCAGCTCCCCTCCTTGATGATCAGATAACCCCACCTGGCGGGATTGTGATTCTGGAGGTCTGCAGTGATTGTTTAATTTTGCGGATGATTTGTGGAGTTTTTTTGTTTTAGTTTCCTCTTATAGAAATCTTGGAATGATTATTGCTTTTATTTGTGGGTTGGGAAGGGAGGAAAGACAATTTTTCTGGTCATTCATTTTCCAGCTTTCTTTTCTTCCAGGTCTTGTTGCTCTTCACCTTCTCCTGCTGTGTGACGTGTCCGCCTTTATACTCCACCTGCTTCGCTACCATCTCATCTCAAAATTTAAAAAAAAAAATGAGCTGTAGACAACTCGGTGGTGCAATCCCCTTTCATGAGAAATCAACCTGCTTTTTTTGGTTTTTGTTCTGTGTTGTTGCTGTGGTTTTAAAGAGAAATCATTTCCCTTCAGACCTTTACTGTTTGGCTGAGCCAAATTCATGGATTGGTTTGCCCTGCCTTTATTCCTTTCCAAAAACAAAAGAGAGAGAGAAAGAAAGGGAGGAAAAGCATTCACCCCCCAAAGATGTCTGCTGTCAGTTTAACATCCTTGCACAGGTTCAGAATTATGGATAGCCTGGCTCTGGGAAGAAGGGTTTGCTGGGGACACCTGGCGCTGTCTCTTCTGCAGGCATCTTGGTGTCGGGGTGTGCTTCGTTTGCCTTCCTCTCTGCATGTGGCATGCTGGGGTGCTGTTTCTGTAGGCTAATCCAGGGGAGCTGCTGGGTGGAGAAGCCCCTACTTTGATCACGGCAGACTGGATTTCGCAATAGATGATTCCTTGCAATCCAGCAGTGCTCCTCCTGCTAGCAGTTAGTACGCCAATGGACACCTGTCACATCCAGATCACATTAAAATGATACGGCTTCATACATTCTGCAGGACTGAATCATGTTCTGCAGGGAAATATGAAACGTTACCTGAAAATAAAGCTGGACACAAGTATGATAAAAAAGTTTAAGAAGACAAAATACAGATTGTCTTAAATTCATTGTTCCCCCTCCCTCCCCAATCCCCAACCATCTAGCCCAAAAAATTACCCCCCCCCAATCTTCTACCCCCCAGCACTGGAAAGTCATTTTGCTATCACAAAATCCCATGGTTAAAGCATCAATTTTTAGGCTCCTAATACCAAAGCACAATTCTAGATGATATCAGTTTAAACTCTCTTCTTCCCCCATTCCATAAATACTACAGTTCAGTCTTAAGCATAGTTACTTGCAGGAAAATATCTCTGGGGCTTAAGTTTAATTAAGATGAGAGACAACCTCTTGATTTCAGTGGGGGCACTTTCAGGGGTGTGGGCTTAAAATTACAGCATTGGCCTTTGAAGAGAGGAAGAAAGGAAACAGTTCATTCTAGACAGAATTTCTGGCCTTTTGATATTGCTGCCACCATATAATGTCATTAAATCCCCTCCCCGCAAAATGCTGCCCGCCAGGTCTTGCAGTGTGGGGCAGGGGGTTCTTGCCTGGAGGAAGGCCCAGTGCTTTTTTTAAGGGTGATATGCACATCTTTCTCTCTCCCTAGCTAGCAGCTTTATTTCTTATCTAAACACGACTCTTAAACATGGCTCTTTCTCAGGTCTCTGGGTGCTGGAATAATAACGCTGACACCCTGAAATTTCCTCGAAGCTTGTGGGGCATCTCCTCCTCCTCCACGGCTGGTGGAAGCACCCTGAGGCTGTGCAGAAGCCAGCACAGAATTTGCTGGGCCAGGTTCTTCCTTCCATCTGGACTAAGCCAGAGGGAGGGCTGCGGCTTGCAGGCTGCACAGCCAGTCTTTCCTGCAGATTAATTCCTCCCCTCCCCACCCCCACCATACCTGGCTGTGAGGTGCCCCAGGTAAGGGAGGAGGAGCAAAAAGAGGCACACACCTTCTGGGATGCTTGGGCCTTCCAGGTCATTCACACTGCCCAGCGTCACTCCTTGCACCAGCCAAAGCCGTATGTGATTGACCCTGACACAATCGCAGGGCTGTTCTTATAAGTCTAGAAGAAGGATTTCTTCAAGCTGGTCAGTAATAACAGTTAATAAGTATTATTAAGTATTTTGTTTTAGTATTTAAACATTAAGAGTCTAAAATACCCGCTTTGTCAGGCTTTTCTCCATGTACGACCAGCAATTTCCTGCCTCTGCTGCCCAGGAAAGCCCTGAGTGGTACAGTTTTATGTACTTGTTCAGATCTTGCACATGTCCCGTTGCAATATTTCCTAAGCATCCTTCTGCCGTCTTCCAAAAGGCCACACTAGGTTTCCATTCTGCCTGAATGAGGCAGATTGGGCCTTATTCCACCTGGTCCACTCCTGGCAGTGCGCCACTTAGGCATGCAGAGCAAAGAAGACAACTGGCACAGGCCCAGAGTGCCCTTGCGTGCAGAGGAGCAGACAGGACGGTGCCCATGCGCGTGCGGCGAGCGTGCACGCGTGGCCTGCAAGGCCAGCCGCACAGGGGAGCTTACTCTGAAGGCGCGTCAGCCAAGGGATGGCAGGACGGGGCCAGTAGCTTGCCTGAAATAGCAGCCTGGTTCTGCCCACCTTGGCTCTGGGCTCACCTCCCGTTGGATTCAGGATTCAGTGGCCGTGGAAACGGGCAGGCCTGCTCCGTTCTTAACCAAGCTGTGTTTTCTGCCTGAAAGGGTGCGCTAGATGCTTTCTAAATAGAGTCTGAAGGCTGGCTGAGTTCCATTCCTTTATCTCCCGATGGACAAGAGTCTGCTTTGTAAGGTCACGGGGCAGCTTTCTGGGACAGCAGTTTCTCCCCCACCCCGCAAACATGGTGTCCCAGACCCACTGGTCAAGCAGTTCCCTGCCAGCGACACCCAGTGCTGTGGAGCCAGGGTGGGCAATGCGGAGCCACACGGCTCAGGAGAGGAGGGAGGCAGAAGTGCCCCGCTGGGGGTATGAAGGATGCCAGGCCTTAGCTGCTGCAAGGAAAGGGGTGCTGCCTCAGGACCTCGCTCTCAGTTGCACAGGTTGGGAGGGCAGGATGCAGCTCCTGTAGCTTGCCAAGTGGGGTATCCGCCTCTCTGTTGAAATGGCCTTGCTTCCTCCCTCGTTTGTCTTCCAGGCGATCCCAAGTAATTGAACAGTTTGAGGCACTGGGTATCGAGAGTGCCGAGCACATGGAGACCAGCGCCTCCTCTGGCCCCACCTTCTCCAGCGAGACGCGGCAGGGCAGGAGCGAGAAGAGGGTTTCGCCCCGAAAACGGGTACGATGTCGAAAAGGCTTCGCTTGCTGGGGGCATGGCCCTGGGGCCCTCGGGGGCATCTGGAGTCTGGCAGGGCTCTCCAGAGGATTTGACTGTATGCAATTTCCAGGTGTGTTTCTTCTCACTGTAAAGCAGCAGGTAAGTTTGCTTTAATCACACGGAGCCTTATTTTAAGCCTCTGTCCTTTAGAAAGCAGCATGTCTATAAAAGAGACTGGTCCTAAGAGTTGGAAGATGTGCAGATGGGCCCATTCATAGAAACAGCGTGAGTCAGAAGGGGCCTCCAGGGCCTTCTCGCCTGACCCCTGGCTCCCGCCAGCTCCGCTCACGACATGCTACATTCGAGTGTTCGCTCAGTAGCAAAGCTTGCAGCCCCGAGTTGGATGTGCTTATAAAAAACCTATGTATTTGTTGCAGGACTTTGTGGCTGAAACGGCAACCAACTCCATTCTGGATATGTCGACATCCCCTTTGTCACCCCATCGCAGAGCCAAATCGCTAGACAGAAGATCCACGGAGTCCTCCATGACGGTGAGTCTGTGGCTTTGTGGTTCTGTGCTGTGGAAGGAAGGAAGCTGGCCCCATGCCCCAAGGAGAGCATGGACATCTCCTTTACAGCTGTTCTGTGTGGGACAGCGCGCTGCGTTTGGGGAGAAGCCAGGTGCTTGATGAGGCAGAATTTGAGGCCCGGTATTGTTAGGATGGCAGAGGAAGAGGTGGCTGGATGGGGCCACTGAAGCAGTCGACGTGAGCTTGAGTGGACTCCAGGGGATGGCGGGGGACAGGAGGGCCTGGAGGAATGTTGTCCATGTGGTCGCCATGGGTCGGACATCACTCTGCAGAAGCAGTGCCCAGCCCTGGAGCATAGATGGTGCTGAGATGGGTGGGTCTGAGATGCGGCGCTTTTCCTGGCTGTGGCATTCCTCTGAAGGCCTTCTTTGAAAGGATGCAAATTACCCGACTGTGCTAAGGGGATGTGCTCTCTTGGCGGGCAACCATCATTTTTAGCACAGAGTAGTTGCCCCTCTGATCACAGGGAGTCGCCACCCCAGTCACCTGCCTCCCACAGGTGTTTCATCGCTTCTCCCAGCTCTTCATCCAGGGGATGCAGGATCTCTCCAGGCTAGAGTTTTCTTGGTCACTTTCTCTTCGGGACAACCACTTCGCCCCTGTGGGGCAATTATGCACAGGGCTTGCAAAAGCTTCCTGGGTTGCTTCATACAGCACTTTCCGCCTTCTATGGCTAGGAATAGTGGGTAGATAATGTTACAGTGCGGATCACGGATGCATGCACGGCGTTTGATTTCATGGCATTCGACCACCCGATAAACCACTGAATGGAGGAATGTGCTTGGCCAAGAAGCATTGTGCTACTGTGAGGGCACCTGGACGTCTTGCCTCTGGCAGCGTGAGGCATACCTGCAACCTGTCCTTCGTGTTTCCTCTTGCCAGGTGCTGTTGAATTGTCTGCAACAGCCCAAATGCATGTGGCATCTGACACACTGTGAGACACAGTTGCACCTGGGGACTCTGGAGTAGCCAGGGAGGTGCACTGCCTCACGTCATCTCTCCTTTGCTCATGCCAGAAATGCCTTGCTGCTGCTAAGGGGCCTCTCCTTGTCTCAAGGCAAAGCTTCAGCCAGGAGGGACCAGCAAATTCGTCCACCAACCTAAACTCCCCAAAGCCGACCCTCGTTAAGCTGCAGGGAGTGCCAGGGCTTCCTTTTCTGCTGGCTGCCTAAATCCTTACAAAGCCTGGGGCTGCTTTTCCTATACCAGGATTGCCTCTCAGCATCCGGTGGGTCTGTCCCATATGATCATGTTACCTGCATCTCGCTATTTTTGCAGTTGTAGGCTTTGCCCAGATCGCATAACACTCTGGGAATAGCGCTCAGAACTCCTGTGCACCTGTGCAAGGAACCCTTTTTCCAGGGAGGCTGTGACCAAAGGAGGAAGGTGCACCTCTCTTCCTCCCCCCTGCCCCATGTTGGGGGGATTGGGGACATTTGTCTTAAGTCCACCAGACTACACCAGGTGCTGTAACTAAACCCTCCTTGGCACTGTGGTGCAGACCATCCAGAATGAAAGCAGAAATTGGCCAGACGGACTGTGCTCACCTGTAGCCGCCATCCTTCAGACCAAGAAGGGCCCAGGCAAACGGCAGGGTCTTTTGGAGCAGCTCTCAGGACAGCAAGGTGCTGCTCTCCTCAGTCAGAGCTGTTTTCCCTCCTATCACCCACAGCAGTGCAAACTTTCCAAATTCAGCAGTTTTAAAGTCACAGGCTGTCTTCCAGCCCGTGCTTTGCAGAAGAAACCTAACCATTCCAGACCTATCAGATGCAGGAAAGCTGCCTCCCCACCTGCCCTGCTTCTAGTGTATTTGGAGGGCTCGTAAACAGGCGCTCGTGCCATTGCTGGGATCCCACCATCCATGTGACTGCCAGCTGCCAGCCAGACCCAGCTGAGCTTATAAAGGCAGCCCAGAGGGAGCAAGTGCTGAAACTCGGTGCGCTGGCAGGAGAGCAGGGAGCCACATGGATAAGGTAGGCTGATGTGTGTGTTTTTTGTTCCGCTGGCTACGGTTGGCGATGTCGAGTTGGACTGCCTCCTCTCCTGGTGGTTTCTCGTTACTTTGCTCATGCGGAGTAGTGGAAATGCTGCTTGCGGTTGCAGTGGCCCACAGCGTGAGTCGCAGAGCAGCAGGCAGACCTTTTCTGTTTCTTCGGGACATGTATAACCCTCGCTTCACTCAAGGCAGGTCCAGGGTTATCTTGGTTACCCCACATCTGCTTGTGGAGCAGGCAAGGGCAGGAGACGGTGGCTGAGCTTCACAGCTGAGTGGGAAGTTGAGCGCTAAAAGAGGAGGACGTGTGTTAAAAGCATATTAAAAGAAAAGGCTAGACGGTTCCATGAAGTAAATGGCCTAGAACAACCACCATTTTGGAATTGAGCAGTGTCAACCAGTAATGCTTTGCAGCTCAGAGATACAGCAGAATCTGCCTCTGTATGACAAAGTGGTTGTTTCCTCCATTTTCAGTGCATTGCAGTCTTTCAATCTTTGCATCTTCAGTACTACCAGTAACTTGATAATGAAATTCCATTCCTTTATCCTTGGAATATCCTTCATCAAAATGAATAAAACTGCCAGCATGAGTGAATACCCTGTTTACTTTTCATAACTTATTTAAGAAGAGAAACAGCCCTCTTTTATTACGGAAGGAAGCAAGCAAATAAGCAAGTAACAACCCAGTTACATTTGGCCCTTTGATGGTAGTATATGGCAGAATCGCTGCAAAGAACAGTGAAGTGCATGCACTGGCCACGTGGCCAAGCAAAAAGGCTGGGCACCTGCAAAAGATGTGAAAGCTTGTTCTCCTCCTTCCCAGCCAGCCCATCCATGAACTGTATACAAAAGCGTAAGATCTGAGCAGGTTTTGGCCCAGGTACTGGTCCTAGTGGAGACAGACTCAAAAGCAATGTGGCTTGAAGGTAATAATAGAACTAGCCAGCTCTCCTGTAGCATCCTTGTTGGTTAATATTTTTTTCCATCGCTGGTGTACAAACTCCTTTCCTGGATAAGAAAAATATCAGAATGTCATTTATCCTCATATTAGAAAAGACGATGGCCTGGGTGTCTTTACCATTGTACATTATGGGCCAGTTTGAGTTTTTGAGGCCTCTGCATTCTCTTCTTTGCAGCCGGACCTGCTGAACTTCAAGAAAGGGTGGCTGACCAAGCAGTACGAGGATGGACAGGTAAGCTTCTCCACAGTGAGCTCCACCCCTCCTTCCTTTTGCTAACTTGCGCTTGGGTTCGTCAGCTTGTGTACAGGCTGGCACAAACCTCACTTGATGTGGCTTCCACGGCCCCCGTTAGCACATGACCAGGACAGGCCACCCGGCAGAATGGCCCTTGGCTTTCCCCTCACCCGAGGCCACATCCCCGTGCATGTCACTGCGGCATCCATGCTGGCTGGAAGGGTGCCGCTGGCCCACCTGCAGGGACTGGAACAATCTCTCAGTGAAAGACTTCGAGGCCGGCACCCGGGACTGCCCAGTGCAGCCACTTCAGGCAGCCTGGGCGGAGGTTTGCACCCCCCACTGCAGGGGGCCGTGGGCCCCGTGTCCGAGTGCTTTTTTGCTTCCGAAGGATCAGGCACTCGGGTTGTGAACAAAGGCAAGGCTGCACTGACCGCTTCTGCCACTAGCTTCTCGGGCTGTAACAGTTGACACTGAAAGGGGCATCTTGAAATACAGTAAGGGGAAGTGATTGGATTAAGTGAAATGCCTTGGCGGGTGCCCTCAACGGGAGGACCAGCTGTTTTCCTCTCCCCCCCACACAGTCTTCCAGGCAACGTGGTTGAATGTTCTCTTCGCAGGCCTCGCAGGCCGCCTGCCAAACACAGTTGGCTTTAGAGAATGGCCTCGCTCCAGTTAAACGGCCTCCTCCTACGCAGTGCCTCTGTTCAGGCTCTCTTTCCCATTCCGTTCTTTTCCAGGAAGTGCAGGGATGAGCACACGGGACCCGTGTAGGATTTCCTTCTCCCCTCTCTCGTTTTCTATCTAGATATATTAATATTACAAAGTATTTCCCATTCCAAAATATAAAAGGGGCTCCAGATGGACAGAAGCAAACTGTTTTTCTGTAACCTTGGATTGCAAGCAGCGGTTTTGTCCAGCACTAAAAAAGGCTGTCACCTATTCTTTTTTTTTTTTTTTTTTTTTAAGTCTTGATTTACCAAATGATTGGCTGATTAGATTTGCACAAGGCTGCATATAACTAATTCATTAGCTTTAAAGGAAATGATTACCTTTACCTTACGGAAGGCAGGTGCACCTGTTGCAGTGAGCAGCACCGTCATAGAAGAAATCCTGCTTTGTGGCAGCCTGAAGGCAAACCCATAAATTGTGGGCTAAGAGCCACCCCCCTGAGAGTGCGAAGGAGGAAACGCTTTGCCAAGGTGCTGCCTCACCGTTTTTGTCTGCCGCTGCTGCGGTGACCATTTGGAAGAGGCTGCCCTGTTGATCGGAAATGGCCTTTTACTGAACGAAACTGCTTTTTTTTTTTAACATCGGGGAACCCAGCTGATAAAGTGTGCAGCCTTACTAACTAACATTTTCCAGGTGTTATATGATTCTTCACCTTATTTAAGGATAGCAAAATTTGCTGGTTACAGTCATCCCCTTGAACAGCCATCTTATTTATGCTTTTCTGGAAGTAAGTCCCACTGACCTTGAAGGGTCCTAATTTTGAGCAGACATGTGCAGACTTGCACAATAAATAGCTATTCCATCCTAAGACCACTGAGAGCCCTCCCGGGCGCGCCTGACAGGCCTGCGAGTCCAGCGTTCGGTTTGCAGGAGCCCGCTAAGGCAGCTCCTTTCGGAACCCGGTTACGTTCTAGCTTGGCATGTGGGGCCCGCTGGCCAACACTGTGCCCCAGGCTGAGAAGGGCAGCAGTTCGTGGAGCAGCGTTTGTCTTGCTTTTTCCACAGTGGAAGAAACACTGGTTTGTGCTGACAGATCAAAGTCTGAGATACTACCGAGATTCTGTGGCAGAGGAGGTATGTGCGTTTATTTCTGATGTGCCGCTCCGCCTTTTCCTGCCTTTGTTGGTCTCATCCCCGGCTTGCTGCATTTCCATTTCCTCCCCTCTGCGCTGAATGTTAGACAGTAAACTCCCCAGCCAGGAACCCTCCCTCTTGTATTTGGTAAAATGCCATGGTGTACGGATGGCAGCAAACAAGCAGGCAAATGCCTGTTTCGATGCAGTTTGTGGGAGATATGGAAACACTTCTCACAGTTTGACCGTAACTATTAAATGTTTTTTATCGTGTGGTATTTTGCCAGGCTGCTGATTTGGATGGAGAAATAGACTTGTCAACGTGTTTTGATGTAACAGAATATCCTGTCCAGCGGAATTATGGCTTCCAGATCCATGTAAGAGAAACTTGGTTAACAGAATGGATTGCGCAATAGGCAGAGAAGGCTGCCGGTGGGAAACATGGCCCTCTCTTTCATAGCTTTCCTCCAGTTCCCCCTTGAAAAACCAGTCTGCCACACGGGAGCACTTCTAGATCCAATTTGAGAGATAATCCACTAACTGGCCGCATTTATTGATGCTCTGTTAAAATCCAAACTTGACTCAAAATCCAAATTTGACTCCTGCCGTGTGTTGTACAAGAGGCAGCCCTTGGAAAAAGCTGGCCGATAGCAGTTGCTTCAGAGCACAGTGGTCGTGGCTGACTGAGGCTTGTTGGATGGTATTTCTCCAATTCTAAGAGAGTTTTACTGACTCCCAGTTGGCTTCAGTTCAGAGGACTAGTTCTTTGTACCTTTTAAATCACAGGTAATGGATTGCTTTCTCCCATATGCAGCTGCCTGTCAGTTAAGGTGAAGCCTTCTCCAGAATTGCTCACAATCTTAAGGTGGGCAGGCAGCCCCTGGAGAGAGGGGCCCCTCCCTTTTGGCCCCCTGGAAGTGCTGGGGCACTTGAGAGGCCAGGCCACCCCACCCCATTCTGCCAAGCGGTTGCCTTGGATGTTGTGCTCCTTCCGACTTGCCGGTTTTATGCCGCTTTGGTCACTCTGAAGGTCCGTCTTGCAACCAGAGGAGGCGAATGTATGTCCCTCCCTTGGGAATGCAGGCATATTTCTCACTGCCTTCTGGGTGCACAGCGTGTGTGCAGCAGTGTGCAAATGAAAGCGCCATCCTTTCTTTCTCATCAACCCATTCTGAAAGTGCGGGAACCCGCACTGAAACCTTGGGGACACTGACCAGAAAGTTTCAGAGGCAGGCTTCCCCCAGAGGTGCCAGTCCTTCCCAGCTGTTCAGCCTGATCTCTTCCCCTCACATGTCCATGTTGCATAGACGAAAGAAGGCGAGTTCGCCCTCTCCGCCATGACATCTGGGATTCGCCGCAACTGGATCCAGACAATTGTGAAGCATGTGCGCCCCGCCACGGCTCCAGATGTGACCAGGTAAGAAGCATGGAAGAGCAGGACATCTGGAGCTTTCTGTTCCCCTCCACAACATGCTCCATGTCTTCTGGCTAAACCCAGTCCTTTCCGGTGTCTGCCTGTCTCTCTGCGTCCCCACCTCACCTCACCTCCTCCTCCTGCTGAGCCTGGCTCATGCCGGTTTTTTACTTCCGCGCTGTTTGGCAGTGGCCATTTTTCCGATGTGCCGCCCTTCACAGTTCCATGCCCCTTCTCCCTAGGGGCTTTGGCTAGAAGTACTGGGTGGGGCAGGACAAGTGAAGCCCCAGGTTCAGACCTGCCCACTGAAAGGCTGCCCTTCTTGGGTTCCAGTGCTCTGGTCAGAATTCTGCCACCAGGGTCCTTCCTGTCATGCTGGACTATGACTCCCATCGGTCCTGCACATTATTATTATTATTATTATTATTATTATTATTACATTTCTATGCCGCCCCTTGCCGAAACCTCGGTGGGCACCCCGTGACAGGAAGCTGCCCTAGGTACTTTCAAGGGTAAGTAAAAGAGGGAGGAGAAGTCACAGCCGGGTCGATTTCAAACAACAGAGCGTGAGCCGTGGGTACGTGCACATGCAGCTGGTACCTGCTTGCTTATGTGCAATATCATTTTGACATGATTTGCAGACGTAGGCAGAAAGAGCACTGCAACTCCCAGGATTCTCCAGTCCACACTGTTATTGCAGCCAGTTTTCTTTCAAAACTTGCACAGGATTACATGCTAATTGTATTCTAATTAGAGCCTCTTCCTTTCTTTAAGAAAAATAGGTGTGCCACCAGTCACTGCATCCCAAATGCCAAATGTCCTTCCTTTAGGAAGAGCCACAAAATACTTATTTTTAAAGTTAGATCATAATTCAGAAATGAACAATCATTCCAACAAATTGAAAACCTTACAAACAGCTAAGTGCCTTGGATTATTTTTCCCACTCAAGCAATTTAAAGAATATGGCCTTGAGAATGTCCCCCTTGCCTTCAGAATTCATATTGTGTTCTTTCATGGGTATTGTTCTCCCTGAGAGAAAAGACACTGCGGAATCACCCCGTAGGGTGAACAGTTCTGGTTTGCTCAGTACACTTCCTTACTGGTTTTCTGAAGAGCAAAGGCAACTACCAGAACTGTCAATATTTCTTGTGTTTTTAAGTATACAGACTCTTATATCCATAGTTGGAAGGGGCTACATAAGCTTGGAAGTGAAGAAAACTGTAAGAAGAGGTAAGAAAGGACTTTTCCTGAAGGCACATAAAAATTAATTCACTTGGCACTAAGAGCAAGATTAGGTTATTTTAAAAGCCTGTCATTTTAAACGGGGTTGGATTTGATGGCCTGCTTGCATACGTGAAGAGAGGAAGGTGCGAACTCTGTGCAGGAACAGGCAGATGTTTCCATTTCGAGTGCTGTGCGAACTTGCCCACAGTTAAGCGTGGCAGCCTGAGCCCACAGTGGTCCATTTCCATGCCTCTGTACATTACACCACTCCTCTCTGGGGGCTTCTGAATCCTCTCTCTCTCTCTCTCTCTCTCTCCTCACTCCTTCATATGTTTCAATTTCCATGCATTCCCAGGAAAAGCTTCTCTTTGAAACTATCCGTGCTGAAGCCCAGGTTGGAAAACTGTGTTCTCTCCTGTATTAACATTTTGTGGTTTGTATATCTTGTGATTCACTGCATGCCTCCTCTCTTTGCTGCACTTTGGATGGGTACAAACTCTTGCTTTTCTGCTTTACAATCCAACAGTGGGGAGAACGGGAGTGATCAAAACAGCACCCGGTTTTGCTGCCGAATTGCCGTATTGTACTGACTCAAAAGTTCAGAACTAATGTGGGGAAGGCAAGTACATGATGGGCCTTTCCGACAAACACAGGAGCAACCCCACGGACGTGGCACTGTCTGTGTTTGCCTTGGAGGCATCCATCATTCTACACGTCTTGTTTTACGCATCCCTGAACCCATCTGAGAAGGGGCTTCCCTGTTGGAAAAGGCACCCAGTCTCATCGGATCCACAGCCGTGGGGTGGGGTGGAGCAGCAGCTGAGCATACAGCCAGGGTGCATAGCGTAGTGGGCTGGGGTAAAAACCGACCGAAGGGGGTGGTGGGATCTTGCCTCCTCGGCATCAGCAGAACCAAGTGCTCTCCGGGATCGGCCAGGAAATGCTTCTCTGCCTCACTGCATTGGTGATGGAGGAGCCTGTGGGCGGCCAGCTCTTCTGATACGCAGCTGGCATCCAGATCCCGTCACAGTGCACGTCTCCTCGTCACGTGTGACTTGAAGCTTGCGTTCCTTGAAACGGTTGGCTGGCAAAGATCACATGAAGACTGGAGCCGAAGCACGGAGGACTTCTCCGCTCCAAGCTAGGCACAGCCGTGTTGCTAGGACAGAGCGAGCGAGCTTGAGGCCAGGGTCGGCATCTGAGGCCAGGTGGGGCTGGGCCCCTGGTGGCAGCATCTGCGATCCTTAGGTGCCTCGTGCCTGTTACTGTGGGCTGCTGTTGCATGGATGCGTTGAGGAACAGCAAGTCCAGAGGCCCTTTTCAAGCATGAACTCTCATGACTCTTGGGCTAGCCAGGCAAAAGCTGGAGTCATACATGCATACATGCAGTTATTCTGAAGTCTTCCACACAGTATGCTGTATTCTCTGACACAAGTGACCGCCCCGGGTCTGAGTCTCCAGCAGTAGTTTTCTCTCTTCTGGGGGAGAGCAGTTCTCCACCTTGGGCCGCCTTCTTCCAACAGTGTGGGGCAGATGGTCTAGTTCCCAGCATAGGATCTTGATAGGGTTTGTGGGGCTGACTGGGGTTAAGGCCGATGTTGTTAATATTAAGGACAACATTGGTGACAGTTCAAAAATAATAGAATTTATTGAACTACTATTGAAGTGCCTGTTGTTGCCATGCTACTGTATTTACTTTCTCCTGCAACAGCATATAGTTTTTATTTGCTTCACTGGAAGGTGCTGCAATCAGAAGCCCGGTGAGGTCCAGAGACATGCGTCGGACTGCCATTTTCTATTTGCTAGTTCTGAGAAGTGCTATAGGCCATAAATAAGTATTTATTACTAGCCTATCTTGGAGGGTTTGTTCCTTCTGTCAGAACGCATCTCTGCAGAACTCCTCGGGTTAGATGAGTTCTCTCTTTTTGAATCCAAACTGCAAATTTGCATGCTGAAGGCTGGCACGTGTTACATTTTGTTGAAAGGCCTTGTCTGGTGGTCCTTCGGTTCTGCCCGGATGTCTGGATCCACTTCCCTTCCCCTTTGCCTGTCTGTTGCCTGTGTCTCGCTCCCTTCCTGTCCCCGTCAGTATTGGCATTAAGTTCTGCAGCTTCCTCGAATGTCTGTATTAGCTTGCATTAGGCCGCAAGATAATACCCAGCAGAGGACCATCTCCAAATGCAGGACTGTGGAGTTGACCACAAACCAAGGGCCACTTCCCATCTAGTGCTTTTCTGATAAGAGAGAAGAAAAGAGCACATGACAGCAATCACGGCAAGTCACAAAAGTGCCTGTTTTGCCATGTGTGCCCAAGTTCAGAAGCTATTGTGTGTGCTTTAGTGTTTGGAAACACATAGCAGCAGCAGAATAAACATTTGCATCAGGTGTGTATTTCTTGCTTCACACATACGTCTGCTATTAAGAGCTCTGGAATCTCATGGAGTCAACCCAAAGTCAAAGCCAACCTTGTTACAGCTGCAGAAATGCTACTGTGAAAGGCAGATGGAGCACAACTTCGGCTCTCTGAAGCCACCTGTGGTGTAGAACAAATGCACTTGTTTGGTAGTGTTGAGAACCTGTGCATTCAGCATGCAAAAATAGCTGGGAAAGCTTTGTAGAGAGCCTTTTCCAGGGAATCCTTTTGGGATGACAGGTTGAACATCTCCCCAAACAGCTGCTTTCTTGTGTTCACGCTTCTCTCCAGTCATTAACTGAAGCCTGACAACTAATGGGCCTGGCTGAAGCCGGGTCCTCTCCAGGCTGGGGACTGAATTCCACAGGAGGAGTGGAAAGTTCCCAACCAAAAGGGCAGGATGGGGTAGGGCAGATGGGTGAGTAAGTTCAATGTTTTGTGAATGAATCATTTTTTTTTTCCAGTGAAGATCGATCTCATGGAAGGGTACATACTAAAATCGGAACAAAGGAACATAACGATCCATGTTCAGTGTCATTTCCCTGCTGCCCCATTTATAACATGCATTCCTTCATGAAAGAAGAAACCTTGCAATAAGCCCTGTTCGTTGATTTGTTTTTTAACCTAGGAGCATGTCTGGTGAGAGCACGTCATCCAACTTTCACTAGCCAGCAGCAAACATGGTCTTTCTTTGCAAAGAGTGTGTGAGCTCTAGGGATGGATCCTTTGTATTTTTGGGATTTAATGAGAATTGGAAGCCCCTGGCCGAACTGGGCTAAAATAAGGTCCCTTTGTATCCTGCTGAGTTTTCCTGGGTCAGAACATGAGTCTGTTCATGTCACAAGGCTCAGTGGTGTTCCAAGTTAAGCATTATTTGGGTGAGGTCTTGTGTTTGGAACATAACGTATTTTTGTGAAGGTGCCATGTATCTCACTGGCTCCGACAGAACTTGAGGGTAGTTTTGCTGCCATTTGTTCCTTTGAATGCTGAATCTCGCAGGAGGGGAGGTGATTATGTATGCAGGTCAGGAGGTGAGACCAGGAAGCCTTAGCGATGGTGAAGGGCTTGGTGCTGCAACGGGCAGGCGCTGGTTCTCCTCCTGGTGCTTCTGACCCACGATGATCTCGCAGAAGAGCAGGCACAACCTAGATTCACACATAACGTTCCACTGCTTCCCTTTCTACTCTGCTCCCTTCTCACTAGTTCATTGCCAGAGGAGAAGAGCAAAGCCAGTTCATCCCTTGAGGCTTGTCCCAAGCCGAGCGAGAAGCAGGACTCGGAGCAAGCAGAGATAGACCCCGAGCACAAGCGCAGCCGGGCCCGAGAGCGCAGGCGAGAGGGCCGCTCCAAGACGTTTGACTGGGCTGAATTCCGTCCCATCCAGCAAGCGCTGGCACAGGAGCGGGCCAGTGTGGCAGAAGCTTCCAAAGGCAGTGCTGCTGCCTTCCTCAGGGAGCCTGGCAGCTCAGGTGCAGACCCTGGGGAACTGGAGAGGGACCGTGCCCGGCGGAGAGAAGAGAGGCGGAAGCGCTTTGAGAGTCTGGACACTCCTGATGGGGGAGGCCCGGAAGACTTCTCCAGGATGGAGGTGGACCGGCTGCCGGGACTGCCCGTCGCTGCAGAAGCCAAGCCCCAGAATGTCCACGTGGAGATAGAGCAGCGGTGGCATCAGGTTGAGACAACCCCTCTGCGCGAGGAGAAGCAGGTCCCCATCGCCCCTCTGCACCTCCCGCACGCCGAAGGCAGCAGTGAGATGCCCCACAAGCAGCACCTCACCACACTCCTGGAGAAAGAGGTGCGGTGTGCAAGCGGGCGCCCATGTGCGGGCGGGTGGCACGCTTCTGCGGGCGGGCCTGTTGGTGACAAATGGCTTTCCTGCAGTGTCACGGCCGGCCCTGGGCAAATGGGCACTGTTGACCAGATGGCTGAAGCTCAGGCTGTCTCTGGGAGAAATATAAAACCATGTTGGTCAGACAGCGGCTCATGGATCACGCTTATCGGCGTGGTTTTATCCACTTCCATTGCTTGCACTCTCAGCCACCCTGTTCACGTAGCTCCGTGTCTGCACCAAGCAGCCTGCACTTCACTGACCTGCCCTCCTCTTGCTCTTGAACCATCTGCAATAGAAAATCCAACTTGGGGGCTGGAAAATGAACTCCGGTCTCGTTCATTACCCTACTTGCTTTGAGAGAACAAAGAGGACCCCAAGCCTGTCAAGTCTGTTGCCTGCTAACAGAGCCACCTGCATCTATTTCACATTGGATGCAACAGGGCTGGTGACAAAGGAGGGCCTCTTCTGATCAAGCTGTGCTCCGCTCCCCTGGTACCGTGGGGAAACGGCTGGTTCTGTTGGCTGAATGGGTCCTTTGCGTCCTGCCCCACAGCAGGCGAAGCTGCCATTATGGGCTGCAGGAGAAAAACGTGTGCTCCCCACTACCCTGCCCGCAGCTTCTGTGTTGCCAAGCTTGCTTGGAGAGGCTGATGCATTTGAAAGGTTTCTCTGTGGCTGTCTTCCTACCCATTTCCCCGTTTTCTACGTCTTTCTTTCAGCTGGAACAGAGTCAGAAAGCAGCCTCAGAGCTTCTGGAGCAGAACCGTGTCCTACAGGATCAGCTGAAAGTAGCCTTGGGTCGTGAGCAGAGTGCCCGGGAAGGTTATGTCCTGCAGGTAGGAGAGAGATAGAGACCAAGGTCACCATCTATTGCTATGGCTCATATTCGGATTTCCGGGGCTTCAGTCCAGGGTGCTTGCAAAGATGCCTGAACTGCAGACAGAGTGTGCAAAACTTAAAATTTCCCTGGCAGGGGAAAGAGGTTTTTTACATTATCCTTGGTGCAAGTGCAGTTACAGAACAAACACCCTTTCTGGTACTGTAACCTGCCTTGTGCCCACATCAACACCCCTACTCCAAGAAGCTGCAAAAACACCCTGCAGCTGAATACAGGTTTCGCTTGCAGCGCTTTCCTTTATGGGCAGCACCTGCCATCTCCTGTGCTCAGAAGTTGGAGGATGCCACATCTGACTGGGTGGTGTGGAGTTACAAAAACAAGGCATCCTGGCAGGATTTTGATGGTTGGAATGTGTTTAGAATGGGCAGAAATGATGAGCCGTGCAGAAAAAGCTACTCAAGGAAGGCTTTTTCAAAATGGCATTATTTTCAATGGAACTTTAGCCCTATACTAGGGTTAGGGCTGTGCACCAGGGTAGGGTTAGGGTTAGAAAAACGAGGCGTTCTGGCAGGGTTTTGATGGTTGGAATGTGTTTAGAATGGGCAGAAAGGATGAGCTGTGCAGAAAAA